GGGGGGGGGCCAGGACCTCCCCTGTCATTGCAACTTCTCCGTATCACCCCCACCCGCCACAGATCCAAGCCCTAGAACTGGACCCCAACCTCTACCGCGTGGGACAGAGTAAGATTTTCTTCCGGGCGGGGGTCCTGGCCCAGCTGGAGGAGGAGCGGGACCTGAAGGTCACGGACATCATCGTGTCCTTCCAGGCGGCTGCCCGGGGATACCTGGCTCGCAGGTGGGGCACGAAGCTGTCTGCCGCGGTCCCCTTGGCTGAGGCTGGCAGGGAGGGGTTGACCAGGTGGCCCCAGGTGTCAAAGCCTCTGAGATGGTGGAGGGGCTGAGAGACAGAGGGAGGGAGCCACCAGGTCCTGAGGCCCCTGCGGCCCCTGTGGGCCTGGCCAGTGCTGAGCGATGCTGGAAGCACCACGAAGAGCTAGCCTCTGTCGTCGGTGACCAGCCTGGCGCTGGCGGGGCCTCGGGGGCACGGGTTCCAGTGCTAACACAGAGAAAGCGCCGGGGACACTAGGTCAAGGTGGTCACCCTACCGGCCTCAAGGGTGAGGGACTGCAGTCTGAAGGGGCAGACAACACAGGCACAAGCGTCATGGCTGTGCGTTGATGGGGCCCTACGAGTGCAGGGGAGGCCCTGGGCTCCAGGGAGTCCCAGGTCACACTTGACAACCAGGTAGACCGAGGCAGTGACAAAGGTGTTCCAGGCTCAGGAGCGAGCAGGAAGTCCGCAGGAGCGTCTCCTTCCCCCTCAGACCTGGCCCAGACGAAGGATCAGCAAATACAGGGCCCCCAAATCCCAGGCTGAGGGGCGGGGACCCTGTTTAGGGTGCTGGGAGCCACAGGAGGGCTGTGAGAAGGGAGGGAGGGTGTAGAATGACCCCCTGGAGGCGAGTTAGAATGGACTGGAGGCCGGGAGGCTGGGGAGGAGGCTGGGTGAGGGTCCCGGTGGGTGAAGGTGAGGCCTGCATTGGGGCTGGGGTTACGGGGGCAGAGGAGGGGACAGGGCAGAGAGGGCCAATGACAGAATGGTGCTTGCACACAGTAGGCATTTAATCATGGTTGATGAGCCGAAGGGAGCTCTCGGGGCCTGGAGGGGCCGAGCCCCCCTCCCATGCGCCCGTCCGTCCGTCCGTCTCCCCGCACAGGGCCTTCCAGAAGCGGCAGCAGCAGCAGAGCGCGCTGCGGGTGATGCAGCGGAACTGCGCGGCTTACCTCAAGCTGCGACACTGGCAGTGGTGGCGGCTCTTCACCAAGGTGAGGAGGGCACCCGGGGAGGTGGCCTGAGCGGCAAGGAGACAGGACTGCGGGGGCAGGGCTGCTGGGCCTCAGTTGGCTGCATCTGTAAAATGGGACCCATCAGCCTGACCTTTGCTCAGCAGGATCTGTGGGTAGCAAGTGACCCAAAACCCCGACTCCAACCAACGTGGATAAAAGGTGCAGGACAGCTTCAGGTGCAGCTGGATCCAGGGCTGGACTAGGGGGTCCTGAAGACTCCTCAGATCCAACGATTCACTGGGAGAAGTCAGGGAAATGCCTGCTGGTGACACTCCTGCTCACCATTTATTCAGGATAAGGATGCAGATTAAAACCAGTAAAGAGGAAAGGCGCACAGGGCCGAGCTCAGGAGAGACCAGGTGCCAGCTTTCAGGACCTTCCAGAAATGATGCATGACAACACACATGGGGAATTTTGCCCTCTGGGAAACCTCACCGAGCCTCAGTGTTCAGGGTTTTTTGGTTTGGTTTTGTTTAATGTATTTTGATTGATTTCAGAGAGGAAGGGAGAGGGAGAGGGAGAGAGAAACATCAATGATGAGAGAGAACCATTGATCGACTGCCTCCTGCACCCCCCCCGCTGGGGATCAAGCCTGCAACCCAGGCATGTGCCCTTGACCGGGAATCGAACCGTGACCTCCTGGTTCATAGGCCAGTGCTCAACCACTGAGCCACGCCGGCCGGGCAGTGTCCAGGGTTTTGATTGTGGTCACTCACGTAGGCATGGCTGACCGCCCACGTAATTGGCCTCTGTGACAGCCTCCAGCCCTTGCAGGGGTCAAGTTGATACCACGTGGCCCCAACCCCCCAGATAAACCAAGTCACGTATCAGACCGATACTCTAAGGCAATGGTTCTCAACCTTCTGGCCCTTTAAATACAGTTCCTCATGCTGTGACCCAACCATAACAATATTTCCGTTGAGTTTGCCCACGGCTGGCTTAGAGGTTTACTCGAGGAGCCGGGCAAGGGCCAGTCCTTCCTTTGGGGTTTGGACACCACAGGCCTGGTGAGTGACCCTTTCCTGCACAGACAGGGCCCACACGGATGTCAGCTACCCAGCCTTCTGTCTCCTGCTTGACTGTCCTCTGGGATGGTCACCTGCAGGCTTACCCGCCAGGGAGCCACCCGCCGACTGAGACTGGCCCCCAGCGAGGCCGGCGTGGGCTTGTCTTATCTCAGAGCTCAGAGTCCGGGTTCATTCCCACTGGCCCGGCTGCAGTCCTGTGACCATCCAGACCACTCACCACACGTCAGATGAGCCAGGCCGACTGCCCGTGCCCACCCAAAGCCGAGGGACAGAGCCAAGCCACCCGGGCCCCTGTGAGCTTGGAGCAGGGTGTTCCCCCAAAGGGGAATGGAGAGGAGGCAGGAGGATGGAGATTTGGAGGAGAAAACGCAGCTCTTCAGTGTAATTCTCGATAAGACGTTTGAGCTATCAGCCTACGTGCACTCAGCCAGCGTTAACTGAGCACCTACTGTGCGCCAGTACGTTTTAGGGGGCCGTGATAAAATGGTGAATAAAAATAGACAAAGCCCTGCCCTATGCAGCCCATAGTTCAGGGCGGGGGTTGGCAAACCCACAAGCCAGACGCCTGTTTTTGTAAATGCCTGCTGGGTGGTGTACTGTCTGGGGCTGCTTTTGTGTTACAGCAGCAGAGTGGAGTCATTAAAGCAGAGACAGAGTGGCCTGCAGAGCCTCAGATATTTCCCTCGCTGGCCCTTTATTTATTTTTATATGTTTTGTTTTGTGTGTGGTTTTTTTTGTTTTTTAGAGAGAGAGAGAGAGAAAGGAAGGGAGAGGGTAGAGAGATAGAAACATTGATGAAAGAGAAGCATCCATCAGCTGCATCTTACACGTGCCTCACTTGGGATCGAGCCCACAACCTGGGCTTGTGCCCTGACTGGAAATTGAACCTTTGACCTCCTGGTTCATAGGTTGACGCTCAACCACTGAGCCACACCGGCCGGGCACTAGCTGGCCCTTTAAGAAAACGTTTGCCTACCCTAGGATGGGAGCTAGGGGTAGGCTTGACAGGCGTCAGTGAATGAATCCCACACATAAATACAAAGCTATAGCTGTGATAAGTGCTATGGAAGAGAAAATAACAGACTAGGAAAGACTCGAGCAGAGAAGAACTAGGAACCGCTAAGAACCGAATCGGAGGCGATGGAGCAGAAAGGTGGCCAGGGGAGGGCGGTTTGTGAAACGTCATTTGGGTGATGGGTGCGCGTGGCACCCGTCGCCTAGTCGCACCGTGTAAGGTGCGTTTCTCTCCTTGGACCCGGGGCCGAGGACTCTGAGAAACGCCTGCTGCTGGGTACAGTGTCGCTTGTGTACAAAGGGTTCATTTAGCAAAACGGAAACACGGACAGGGCTGCTCGCCCTGTTCCCGTACCCGGAAACCCTGTGCAGTGGGGCTGCTAACCCCTTCCCACCCCGCCACCCCTGTATAGATGGGACCCTGCGGTGCCTGCCAGGTCCCTCGCTGGCCGGTGGAGGAGCTGGCCTTGCAGCCCCGGAGTCCGGCCCTTATTCAGAGCGTGAGCTCTTGGCTCCCGGGCCGAGCGGCCTCCCAGACACTCCGCCACCTTGACCTCCCCGTAGGTGAAGCCGCTGCTGCAGGTGACCCGGCAGGATGAGGTGCTGCAGGCGCGGGCGCAGGAGCTGCAGAAAGTGCAGGAGCTCCAGCAGCAGAGCGCCCGCGAGGTGGGCGAGCTGCAGAGCCGGCTGACACAGGTGAGGGGGCGGGGCCGAGGGT